TGAGAGAGAAAAACAAAACAGTGGTCCTACAATGGATTCCTGGTCACTGTGGCATTAAAGGCAATGAGCTTGCTGACACACTTGCTAAGAAGGGGACAACGATTTTGCAATGCATGGACAGGCCGATGTCTTTCCACACAATGAAGGCCTTAATCAAGAGAGAATTCCATACCTCAAGGTACAACGAAATTAAAGCTCGAACAAAGGAGAAACAGTGGACAGTGGCACTCTCCGACATACCCGACTGGCCAAGAATCGAAGCCGTTGCTGAGTTCAGACTACGTACCGGACACGATTGCTTGGCAAAACACCTTCACAGATTGGGAGTATACACTCAACCCACATGCCCTCTATGTAACCTACAGGAGGAAATGGAGAAGACCCACCTGATTCGGTGTCCAGCCCTAAAGACAAGGACGGAAATCCAAAGATACTGGGAAGCAAGAAGACAGCTAATGAATTGCTATTAATTAACTGCTATAAATGTACCCCCCCCCCCTCTTGGGGGAAGCTGAAGTCAAAGATTAAGGGCTAATGATAAATATCATAAAGCCTGCCATTTGAAATAAATAAATTCTAAGTACAAATATAGACGAATGATACTAATATGCCTTATTGTAATTTTTTTAGAGAATATTGCATTTATTAATTGAGAACTAAAGTCAAGAGAAGAAGCATTTTAAGCTACCCTATCTATTAAAAATCGCGCCGATTAAAATGACCAATTAGCGCGCTAAATCACTGAGTTTTGTTAATATCATTGGGTAAACGCTATAGATGACCAACCTAAATTGTGAATGATTCTAATTTGCTAAAGCTAAACAATGTTCAGTTCTCTAAAAAATCACTTTCTGCCAGGCTAGACCGTGAGTCCTACTAAGTTCTGCTTCGGTGAGTATCAGATTAATGAAAAAGTCAGAGTGTAGGTAACACGGTAATAAAATTTTTCAGAATCCGCACTTATGGATAAGGAATCTATGGAGATATCTGGTCAAGATGGTGCAGATTGTGAGGACAGTTTCGACTCCTTACCCATGGAATATTCATTTACAATTAGCTCGAAAAAGAATATATCTCTCTTTGATGATACAACCTCTTTGGAAGAAGTGGAATTTACCCAGAGGGATTTTCCATTATCAAAAACTGAAGATAAAGAATTCAGACCTACTCTAATTAGATGTCCCACTGCCCCGTTACCTGCTTCAATGCCCACAGTAAGCTCACTTTCATTTCTTCCACATCATTTCATATCTTTATGATTGTCTTATTAAAAATGAAGCGATATTAGGAATTGGGTTAGGAAACTACCAAAAGACTGCAAGGAGAATACCTTTTTTTCTTAATCATTACATTATGTCAATTGCAACTGTTTTGACATAAACTGTTTACTAGTTGTCATCGTATGTTCCGACGCTAAGTCTAACCTAGTGACAATAGTCACTGTTTGAACAAGTGCTAAGATTGATACGTTACTAGGTCTTTATTCGATCTTGTGATATGGTAAAAGGGGAAGTGCTAATAATGCGAGAGCTTAGTGACTCAGCATCTCAATTGTCTTCGTCAATGAGTTAATAGGATGATGGAATGTCTGCAAGATCGACTAATTAGCATTAAAAAAAGCACTTAGATGAGATGAAGCGGACATCTTGGCACGGTGGTCACTTCCGCACAAGCACCGTGGATTGTGCTTAAGGATATTTGAAATCCTAACTTCTCATTGGTCCGCTGTGCATCCATGTTCACCCATGTGCTATCAGGTTCTTTCCATTGGCTGGAGGAGTTACTTGCTTAGTATACTTCCCATATCTCTCTATTAACGTGATTTGTGGATTAGCGTACGTGGAGTTGTTCTTGTTCGTCAGATGAACAGACAATAATATAGCACTAGGTTATGTGTAGTCCAAATTGGCAAAGGTGATTCGATTTAAATTGAGAATTAAGTAGGAATCCGTGAGAATCAACATGACATCTTCAGTTGTGACTTCGTTTTCTACTTTTTAGGACTCCTCAATTCATCCATCAGTGCTGCCAATATGCAAGACTTCGGATCACGGATGCAAAATGGTCAGCATTCATACTGTCGCCCAACTTGTACGTGGAGAGTATGAAATGTCGGGCATTGTTTATCATCTCGTAGACTGCCGATATCCCTATGAATACGAATCCGGTCACATAAGGACTGCTCTCAATATTTACATCTGTAGCAATCTTTTGGAAGTAATTTTTACAGTTGTTCCTGTAATATCGCCTTATGATAAAGCAAGTTTCCTGGATCTAGGTCCACATGTTCAAGCACTCCTAAAGGGGGAAAATAAATGCGATAATAAGCGACAAGAGATTTCCCTAGTTTCAAGTAACTTGTCCGCTCAAGTAATCATCTTCTACTGTGAGTTCTCTTCTCAACGAGGTCCCGAATCTGGCCTATTTCTTCGAAATGTTGACCGATATCTCAATTGTTCCCGCTATCCTTTTCTCTTCTACCCCCATGTCTACGTAATGATGGATGGATACGAAGCCTTCTACAGAGAATATCCAGAATTATGCAAACCTCGAGGCTACCAGAAAATGTTTCATCTTGAAGTTGCCGACCACCTCTTCTATTACTCTAAGTTAACCGCCGAAGTATCCAGAGTGTGTACAGCATGCCTCAACAACTTGGAATTGTACGAATTTAAGTTGTCTCCTTCAGTGGAGGAAGAGGAGGAGGTGAAGGAGGAAGAAACCAAACCGGAATTGAGACCAGTGAAAAGCGCACCCCGTAATTTAAATTTATTCACATCTACTGGTTCCCCACGTTATTCATTTATTTGAGACCTTCTATATCCATATACTTCAACACACGGAGAACAAAGTACAAATAGTGGGAGACAAACGAGAAGAAGTAGGAGGCGATCCAGATAGGGTGGACCTAGGTAAAGGACTTCATAATAGGATTTGGGGTTAAGAGGACCAATTAGATGAGTAGGAGACACGGAGGACGTCCTAGTCAGACTTGGAGAAAGATCCCCCTTTGGTATTTGTGACTATAGTCGGGAGACAATTGAATTAGCTCATGAGGAAATAAAAGAATTCATCTGTAAAGGTAATTGTTGAGTTGAAAAGGAGCGATGGAAGCAAGGCGGTAAGCTCTGACAGACTGATCAAGTGGAGGCAGAAGTTAACTTAGAGTCCTGGCGAATGCTTCCTTATTGAGTGGGTAGGGTTGATGAATAAGCCTACTTTCAGTACATCAGTAACGACGTGTTTGGTGGCTGATAAACACCAGAAAAGACGAAAGTGAAAAGGTTGGCCAAGTAAAGGAAGTCGGATAGGCATAGTGTAAACCACTAAAACTTGACATGCCGAATATATGAACACGTAAAAGAGCTGCAAAAAAACTCTTTCTGAATCATCCGAAAGTGAAATCAACAATGGTTCGTTATAGCTGTTGTTACCTTTCTTCATTCGAGACATACATGTAGCCCAGTTAAGGAGCTGAATAGCAGTGGGTGGTTGGTTAAAGGTGGGCCAATCATTGACTACCTTAATCTTATTCGTGAACATCGACCTTGAGTATTTTCTATTTCTGCATTTTATCGCACTCTAAAGTATTATTTCTTTTTTATTTCAGCTGAACTGTATAAGAAAAGCACTGAGTATATTATAGAACAATCCTCTGAAAACAATGTCATAATAAAGCAGTGTCTTCAACTTTTAGAACGCATTATTCGAATGGGTAGACTTGCAGTTGAAGATTTTGAGAAACGGAACGGACACATTTTGCTGCACTCTGAAGCCTCGCCGATGGGATCCGTTCGAAAACGAGCAATGCGCACGTCGAGCATTTCAATGGAAAGTGATACCAATGACTTTGACAAGGAGAATCGACCAATAGGATTGTTGAGTTTCTCCGGTGCTGGAGAGGAAACACCTTTTAATTCCCGAAATGAATCTGTGGAATAATTTTATTTTGATAGGACTTTATTTTACCTCTCCCAACAGTTTGTAGATGGAATATTGATAAAATAATTTTTAAGGTAATTAATATTTACTATTACAAGTTTATTGGACGTGTGCCAGTTGTGTCTTCTTTTAAAACTGACTTTACGTCTTTGGGCCTGTCTTCTGGGTATAAAGGAAATCCTCCTTTTGGTAGCATATGTAATTACTTGAGGCAGGCGAGTGTTAGAATTCACAACTGAATTATTTAAATCGAGCGATTACATTTTCTACACAGTAACTAAAATATTAAATAGAAAAACAGGACTCCTTATTAATAAAAAGGTCAACTGTGTCTGAGTATAAAATAGTAAAAATACATGCTTTTCAAATGTTAGAAAAGCTTAGTGCATATCCCATAGTCAAAAAATTATTTAGATTATATAAAGGGAATAAATTTACTTTATAAAAACAAAATAGATTAAAACGTAAATTTAAAAAATGTGAACTTTTATAAATTAAATTATTAGAGCAAATCAAATAAATTCCGCAATTAACCTAAAACATGGTATTAATAAAATAACATTAATATGAAAGTTCATATTTGTGAAAATAAATCAAAACATTTGCTAAATAATTTAAATAAGCCGCGCATAGTATTCAATCAAAATTTAATGCGCCTCTAAATATTGGCCAATCAATATCAAATATGGACCTATTCACCAGTAGTTGAATAACCAGGCTTTATAGGTCCAATCGACATTTTGGACACTCATCAAGACTTTTAAACTTTATTAGTTGATTGTGCATACTTAAGCTTCATGTGCATACCTCCAATTAAATAATCGAATTAAATTTAAATATTTAGGAATAATAATGCAATTATATATATTAGTTGCCTTAAAATTAGCCAGGCAGAAGAGGTGATATATTAAAACATCTATTTCGCGATAGCGGTAATGTATTTCAGGTTTATGTTACCGAATTCCATTGGAAAATGTTAGTCATTACGGATGGTTTTCGTTTATGCAGTGCAAATGACGCTTACGTGTAGTAAATAATTACAATAATTAAATCTTTAGGTTTTAGCTAGTTGATCAGAAATATAAAGGTCAAAATAAATCAATTAGTTACCTTAATCGATCAAACAGCGAATTCATTATCATTTCGTACTTTTAATTATGCGTCAAATTAAGAAGTTCCTTTGGCTGATCGAGAAAAAAGTAATTTGAATTACTAAAAATTTGAATATGTCCGTACATTTTAACCAAAAATATATTTCTGTGGCAATATTTATTAATTTATTTTCTGTGGCAATATGAGATCTTTAATTTTCAGGCAAGTTAAATAACATATTGAACTCAGTGAAATACGAAAAAAAAGTAATAATAAATGGAAATAAATATTTTATATAAACTAATACACCAACTAAACAAGCGCATTGACTAGTAATGACTATTAAAAATATTTCAACTTTATTATTTTCCGTCGGATATTAAGGGAAGTGAGTTAATATTTCTAACATTTAATAGGAGAGCACTGCAAGTCAGACCTCCGGGCAATCATATTAATTAAGTGACACGGAAAATTTGACTTCATAAGAAACTTTTCTCATAAAAGACCATAAATGAAAATATATCTAATTATTGGTGAGCATAATTTAATCAATGCTTGAATAAAATGCCATTTTTCTTCAAAATCATCAAATTGAACAAGAACCCCACCCCCCTTAATTAATTTTTTGCTTAAATCATTTTCTATCTACACTTTTCACTGCATCATTTCGTATGATTTCGTACTTTAATCCATTAAGTAACATATCTATTTATCCCGGATTTTCGCTACTTTCATCCATCGGCCATTTTGATCAAGATTTATATGCTCGTCATGCAAAGGTCCACCTTTTCAAAGGCAAAAATAGTACCTGCGATACTATTTTTGTTTCTTCATCAGATTATGTTGGCCTTGCTAATATTTTTAACCAGAACCGAGTCACCACCTCTCAGTCAATAATTTTCAAATTCCAGCACAGTTAGTTGCAACCTTCAATTTACTGTAACTTTGCTTGATATAATCAATAGCATCGCCGTGGATTCTAGTTCCAACCGCTACCACTTAAAAGTCACTTGAAATCGAAATATGGATAATGAAATTGAGATATATTTTGCACATAAATTCCTAGAAATGGCTCATTTCTTAGAACTGGGTTTCAGTGTCTCTCGGACTCAAATCTTTTAGCAATGCTGCCAGATAAACAATAATTACAAAAAGCCATCTATCATCGAGTCCTACATTTCAGTAGACGTTAATCTTATCGCATACTTGGCATCATATTGGCCAAATACAAATTTCGCAAATTGGGAGGACAAATTTTGTCATGTTACTAAACCGCTATCCAATTTTTTCCACCACAGATGATCTGAAATATTCAATCATCATAGGCGTCCTACAGATGGGGGGGAGTTGACGTTAGAACGCGACTGTCTGTATTTTTCGTGTACATTGTCTGACCAACTTTTGCAAATTAATGAGCCTCGTCTGTCTGTGTGAGACTAATCAACACGGATGAAGAGCGCTTAAACTTTCCTAATTATAAAAGCTCTCATTTAAGCAAAATCGAAAGTGTTTTCTGAAATATTACCAGTGTCTGCAATATTCAACCTTTCAAACTATGATTGAAGGAAATTAGAGAATGAGACTTTTAGCAGATTCTAGATGCTCATATTTTGTAAATGAATGATGAGAGGTAGTCAAGCCATTTCAACATCAATTTTGAATATTCAATCGGTTTGGCTAGCATCCTACTTAAGTGAAGCGATGAAAAAGAACTGATTTAAATGAAATAATGAAAATCTAATCTTAAAAGTACATCAATGGTCAGCGTGCCTGTTTAAAAAAACTAGAAAGTCGGGTGGGAGGACCTCAACGTTGCTCTTCCGATAATTTTGATTAGCAAGAGAGATGGTAAAATATATTTTTGTCATGGGAACAACTCAAAGATAAGTTCCACCTCCCCCCCTTCCCTCCCCAACTCAATTCAAGTCAGGAAGAGTATTATTCGTCTTTTGTTTAACTAAAGGAACAAGTTTGTCTGAGTAAGAAACCCCATCAATATACAATCATTACACATTATTTCCCGAGAATAATAAGGGAAGTGCTAATAGTATTCAACTTGGGTAGAGGTAGATTAGTCTAGAACTCCTCCCATAGGAGAAACTTATTCTAAAATCACTGTCGTTGACGGTAATTATCCTTTTCGGTCAGTCGTCCACAAAGCTGGAAATGCACTGATGGGAGTTAATTTTGCGCTCTCCGACTTGGCTAAAGTGCAATTGATCCCAGTACCATCAGAATCCAAATTTCCCAATACAGTCGGATTTAGTTAATCATATTAGAAATCAATGCTGATCTATGACTAATAACCTCAGCGAGGCAAATTAATTTTAATCTAGGACTCATTCATTCGCCCCCTGAATTATCACAAGTAAGTGCCAAATACCTTAAAATTTGAAAAATAAGCGATAAGGATGTGCGTAAGATAACGGGGGATCGGGGTCTTGGAAGTGAAAAGAGGGAAATAGAGTATGGAGAATTATGTGTCTCATTTGGGGAGTACTCACCCCCACCTTGTCTTCCAGCGGTACCACCCACTGGTTTCCCATCAAAGTCCTGCAAACTACTCTCCTTTCCCATTTATCTGATCTTTGTTAGCAATTCAATTAATGCACAGCTGTGTTAACTGAGCATAACATCCCTAGTTATCAGCATCTGGAATTTTGCAATTAGAGAATCGATAGAATGCAGCATTATCTGTGCTTCAACACTGGTTCATCTTCTTGCGAATCCCCACGTACTCCAGTCATGCGTTCATGAATTTGGTGATTAAGAGTTCAGCTGTGGGTATTGAGGTGGAGGAAGAATTCGATTTTCTCAATAAAATCTTTTCTAGGCGTTGAGCTGGTTGAATCTTGCAAGTTGGCAACAGATGTAAATACTTATGTATGCGCTCAGATGTGATATGTTACACTCCAATCGCCAAACATCACATTTTTGGCGCATTAGTGGAGTACCTCAGTAGCCCAACCAACTCAAAGCTGCATTACCATTTTTAAATAGCCAATTTGACGACGCATTACTGATCAATTGACACATACTTGAGCGTGAGCTTGTCTATCAGAGGAAGGTTGAAATT